ATGGGATAGGGATTTTTATCTATGAAGAATCATTGGATCGACTGGGTTTGTTTTCACTGGTATGCAGGATGTTGAGGGGCGGCCTGATAGAAGTTTGTAAGATTGTAAATGGCGCGGATAGAGTGGAATGAATGAGGTTTTCTCTCAGGGTGGAGGTGTCAATTACTAGGGAACACAGTTTCGAGGTGTGAGGGTGGAAGTTTAAAACAGATCTGCAAGGCATGTTTTTCACACAAAGGGAGGTGAGTGCTCAGAATGCGCTGCCAGAGTAAATGGTGGAAGCAGACACAATAGCAGCATTCAAGAAGCACTTGGACGACTACGTGAATAGGAAGAGATATGGATTCTGCAAGTGAAGACAGTTTTAGTATGAAAGCCCAAAATGTGGTGGCGCACAATTGAAAGGTGAACAGGCCTGTTCCTGTGCTGCATTGTTCATTGTTCTTTGGAAACTGCCTCCAATGCCAATATAACTTTCCATTCATATGCTGCCCAATACTATGGTCCGACCAGTAACTTTGACACATTTTTTTAACAATACTTTGTGTTAATAGAATTAACTTATTTGGAGAAAGATACAAACGTTTTACACATAAGGTTGTCGCTGAGACAGCAACTCAGACTAAAAATCGTTTTGGCTTTCTTGCATAAACTGGAGTCACTTCCCTGAAAATATAAATTTCTCACAATGCCTCACATCTATTTTCACACATGGAAAATGAATTCAAAGGGAATTGGTTCCTCACAGTTTCTCTCTATGGGAGAACATTCTGTGCATAAACACTAAACACTTTTACCAAAACTGACTTACTTATACAATAAAAACCAAAAGAACTGCGGATGTTGTAAATCAGAAAACAAAAACAGAAATTGCTGGAAAAGCTGAGCAGGTTCTGAGGAATGGTCACTTGACCCAAAACGTTAACTGATTTCTCACCAAAAATGCTGCCGTACTGGCTGAGCTGTTCCAGCAGTTTCTGTTTCTGATTCTGATTTACGTACAGCTCACAAACAGGCCCTTGGTCCAACCAGTCCATGCTGAAAATAATCCGAAATGAAATTAGTCATCCCTGCCTGCTCCTGGCCCATATCCTTCCAAACTTTTTCGATTTATGTACTTATCTAAGTGTCATTTAAACGTAATATTACCCGCATCCACCACGTCCAAAGGAGATTCATTCCACATCCGAACCACCATGTGTATAAATTTCGCCCCTCATGATTTTTTTTTTTCAAATCTTTCTCTTTCTTGATCTCCAGCAATTTTCCTTTAAATGTTCTAATCTATGACAGTGAAAACATAACAAATCCATTGAAACAGTTCCATCTTCTACACCAAATTTTTGGAAACTCCACTCCATGTTCCTGTCAATCAGATCAATCATGAACTTTTCACGCAGTAAAGCAGTTTCAAAGTGTTTTATTGACCCTTCTGCACCTCATTCATTTGGCCCAGGTATGACAGCTTTCTGCCACAAGACTCTCTGCCTTTCATTGAGAGGGTCACTGGAGAGTTCCTCCTCCAGTTCCAAGCTTAGCAAGCCTTCCAGCTTCCTTTCCCCTTGGCGACGATGAATAAGCTGCAAACTTTAGAAATCTACAAGTAAATGATTTAAACAAAACAACGAGACCAGTCCCATGCCAACTGTTGGAGAAAATGAAATGCAAACTAATTTTTTTTTTATCTTCTGAACCTTCCTTTCTTTCAGTGATTCAGATGGAATTTGACCAATCAGGCCACGAACAGCAAAGTGGAGAGCGCGGCCAGTCCAGCAGAAAGAAAACCTCTACCCCTCCCATGTCACCCACTATCAGAATGAATGTGGTTCAATTTCTGGATGTGATTAGCAGCGGCAATAACAGCATAACGTACTCTTGTAATCATTTGCGAACTCCCTGGTGTCTCTGCAGACTGGACAATTGAGCGATTTGCATCCCACACTGAGAGCAGCTGAACGGTCTCCCCCCAGTGTGAATGCGTTGCCGTGGCAGCAGGTTGGATGATTGACTGAAGTGCTTCCCACACTCGGAGTAGGTGATTGGCCTCTCCCTGGTTTAAACTCGCTGCTGTGTTTGCAGGTTGAACAACCGAGTAAATCTCTTCCCACACTTCGAACAAATGAACAGCCTTTCTCCAATGTGAATCCGCTGTCAAGTGGGCAGAGTAGACGACTGGGGAAATACTTTCCCACACTCACAGCCTGTGAACGGGCAAACAACTGTGTGCATTTCCAGCAAATTTAAATGACGAGCTGTTGTTGAAAATACCTCCCCTTTTCTCATAGATAAAGTAAACTCAAACTCCAGCTTGTCTGCCAATTCCAACAGCTTTGCTTTGCTCACATTTCGTAAGACTCCTAAAGTCACTTCTTCCATCCCTAAAAAGCTCTTAGTGACTGAAAGAGCCATTACTACACAAAGCATTCCCTGTTCGAAACACCCGATTCAGCACCCGAAACAAAAGACACGAACACATTCTATTCGCTGCCTTTGAGTCAACAACCCTAAACCCAAATTGAAATTATAGAATGAGATATCGCACAAGCCCCCAGTTTGTTACGCAGCAGACCAGACCCTCTCAAAATATGTTAAGAACGCTGGACCCCAACATTTTCTTCTTTTAAATGTAGATGTGAACTGAGTGTTCCAGATGTGAGGCAAGAGGTCAAAGCACTCGACGTGAAGAAAAACACAATTTATTTAAATGCTATGTTTGAAATACAAACAAAATAAAAAGGAATTTAGAATAACTTAAGTATTGGAAAACTAGATACAGTACCTATTAGTAATTAACTGCTCCATAATACCAATTTCACAAAACACAACACTTGGCAAAAAGGTAAATTCATACACAAATATTACGTGCAGTTTCCAACTCCAGAAGGGAACAACATGAAAAGAGATTTCAGACAAAGTTATGGTTAAGAAATATTTACTGAAGCTTGCAGACCTTCTGGGACCCTAACAGCTTCAACAGCTACAGCTAAAATAAACTTAAAAACCCTGATCTGGGCGAACTGGTAAGTCACCTTCCATTGTTCCATCTTTTTCAGAAAAAAAAACCCAAACGCCTATTAATTTAGTGACTCAGGGAGGATCCAGTAGAAATTTCGGTATCTCTGCCTTTACAACATGTCTTTAAAATACCCAGCATAAAATAACCTTTTAAAAGTGACAGCATCACCAAACCTGATCCAGACAACAGGAATAATACGGTGGATTCAGAGCTCACTCATTCTCAGCTCTGTTATAACAAGCTGTCTCTTGTGACTTACATTGGTAAAGCCTCTTTCACTCAGTCAGTGGTCACGTCTCACTGAACAATAAACACTTGAAGACTGTAGTTTTAATCTAACAAAATGTATCAGAGTTTCGCGGGATCTTAGGGCCATATAAAATCACATGATCCAAAGCTTGGCCAAATTTATCAGTTGAAAGGAGTGTTTTCAAGGGGGAAAACAAAGTAAAACGTTTTCAAATATTTCGGTCGGAAATTCCAGGTTTTAGGGTCCAGGCAGATGAATGCACGGGCATCAATGGTACATTATTTAAAATCAGCAGTGAAGTGTATCCGCAAATGGTGCTTCATGTATGTACGTCCATAGCCCAAATTGCTGCAGACACTGGAGATCTGAAATAATGACATCGCAGTGCTCCCGAAATTTAGCAGGTCTGGCAGAATCTTTGGAACATGTTACAAAGGAGACTCGTTGAAATCGGAACAGTAACTCTTTCTGTCTCTGTGAAAGCTGCCAGTCCTGCTGAGTTCTCCAACACTTCATAACACTTCATCATTTCATAGACACCTTGAAAGCTTCTTCTTTATTGATTTGATACGAACTGAGAACTAGTCGAATCCTCCTGCTATGGACAGGAATTGGCTTTAACAGACTTAAACTCCTCTGGATCTCAGTGTTACACACAGAAAACGTTTTAGCAGAGGTTTCAGGAAAAGAAAAGAACAATACTCAGTAACATAAAAAACTGAAAAGAACAGACATGTGGATATTCACAGCAGGTCACACATCATTAGTTACTGACAAAATCTTAGATGACTCTCTTTCAGAAACAAGTTTCCACCACCAGCACCAGGCCCTATTACAGAGAGGGAGAGCAAAGGTGCTTCACTAACGGTGAGTGGAACAAACGGATTGTCCCTGGAAGAGTGTCAGACTGTAATCTCTCCAGTTTAGAAGAACGGGCAATAATCGCATTCAAACGTATAAAATCTTTCTAGGTTTAAATTATACCAACAGGCAGAAAGGGCTGTTGCAGAAAATGTTTGTTTAAATGTATGGGAAAGTTTGTTTGTCTTGTCAATTATATATGTTCACCACAATATTCTAACTGGACTATATCATCTTGCAATCCGGTGATCAGTTGCAAGCCTGAATGAAGCTGCTGGGTTTGAGGTACAGTTTTCCTGATCAGATCTTTGATCGAGGTCCCATCAACCTGCTCGGCATTGAATAATCATCAGTACCGATGAATTAAAATGAGGACTGGGTGGGGCAAGGTGTAATAGAACGTAATGGTGGGCATGGTGGAGTGGGGGAGGTTGATTTTTGGTTCTCCGGGAATCCCACCTCCACATTCTTTGTTCAACACATGTCACTCAATGGAAACACGGACCGAGCGCCCAGCTCACTCATGCGGGACCACGGAGAACTTCAGCGATTACTGACAGAACATGTACCCACATTCAGCCACAACTCCACCCCTGTACATCGGGTCAATATGAGAGGGGATTACATATTCAGATCACAGAGCTGATGAAGTGACGTAAAACTCGAGGTTCGCTCTTTAAAACCTACCGTTTATTCAGATAAGGCAAGTCCGGAGACCCTGAATCCATTGGCCCATCAATCACCTCAACGGACACTGATAAATGCAAGTCAAATCCATCCTACTACACCAGTTCATTGCAGATCACGACCCAGTCTCGCAGAGTAGTCTGTCGTTTCCCACCACCAAAACCATTAACTCCAAGCACGGCAACGATGGATATTCTCCTTGTTTTGATCCTGTGTCTCTGTTTACCCAGTAAGTACTGATCACAGAAAACGACATTGTGTGTAATTAAAATTACATTACTGCCCAAGCTCGTCCGAATCGCAGACACAGCCTGGGGTTTTAACCCAGTTGTGAGGGTCTCTTCTAATTCTCACTAGCCTCACTCTGTTTAATGTCCAGGTTATTTCAGTCAGTCGGTGACACAGAGCCCGGCAACGGTGACCAGGAAGGAGTGTCAGTCCGTCAGCATCAACTGTGAGTTTAGTAGTCCCTATTCGGATGATTATTTTAGGGGTGGACATTTCTTCAAACACACGCGGACAGCGAAGGAGTGGGAGCGGATCACCAGCGGCGGGAGATTTGTTGTGTCCACGAATGAAGCACAAAAGACATTTTCGTTGGAAATTCGGGATATCAGAGTTGAAGACACTGCCACCTATTACTGTAAGGCTCAGTACTACAGACACAGTGATGGAGCTCGGCTTCACGTCGCACAAAATCTGTCACTGGAGATCATCTCAGAAACAAATTGAAAACTAAGTTAATCTTCAGGAAATTCCCACAGTTCTGCCTTGCAGTTCTACCCTACAGTCCAATTTATACTGAGATTGGATTATTGTCAACAGCATCTTGAGTTTCACAGGTTCCAAGTATATTCAGATGGCGAAGTCTTTCCCAGGATTACTGCGGGTGATTGCAAATTCGGAAAAACTGATTAAGTTTAAAGGATGCTCACATGAGCCGGGATCTTGTTCTCACAACTGGAATCCAGAAATACAGTCCAGCTGTTTCAGTAATGTCCCCACATCAGTTCTGAGAACATTTACACAGGCTTGGAACATTGTGTAAGATTGGGAGAATGCACAGTGAGAGGGAGCCAACGAAATTTCTCTGGATTGATAATACATAAATTCTCCAGGCCCTATAGACAATTGAGGGCCTGAAATTCCCTTCGTTGTAGTATGGGTTAATTTACTTTCACTCTCCAGCAACCAATTTTTTTTTTTTCGATTCTCCTCCATTTGTGTGAAGTGAACATCTGCCTCCTGAACTCTGCACTATTTGCAATAAGGTCAGAAAATGAGCTTGAATCAAAGGAAACTTGGACAAGTAGAGTATTGGTTATTTCTCTAAATCTCCAAAATAAATGAACTATTCAAACCACGTGATGATGATTTCATTTCTTTTGAGGAAGCAATGGTTCTTGTACAGGGGAGACTGAGAGGAGCATTACTGTGATATTATGACTATGTAGATGGATCCGGGTCGGTGCTGAGTGTCACAGCTGGTAAGTCAGTCCGCTGTTCGCCTTTCTATACACTGTCGTGGTGAATGATCAGTTTATTACTTTGACCTTTAATTGCATCGAAATTAAAACAAACATTTTGGAAAAAAGTCATCTGCATTGCAGTGTCCGAATTGTGAGCAGAATACGGGAGCTGGGTCCCACTTTGCTCAGGCGGAAGACTATGAAACCTGGCTACGAGTCGACTATTTCACTGCATCTGGGGCATTATTAGTATAACAGTCAACAGTAACCTGTGACCGAAAGGGCACAGTGTATCGTTTAGGTCAGAGGGGTGGCATCATGGAGCTCCAAACGGGGCAGGAAATAAAGTCCGTGTAAGATCCCGGGTGGGAAAACATGATAGAAACATTTGCCTCACGAAAACAGTTGAAAGTATCACTCAGCGACCACCAGGCAGTCATGATCTGGCTGTATGTCAAGACGAATTTTCGTCATTCGGGAATCGTTGAGACGAATGATCGATGTGGCATTTTTTCGATGGTTTTTATATATGCTTTCATATAGCCAATCATATTCCTGACATTCCAGCCTTAGACATGGATGTAAAACTGAAAGCCCGTTTTTATTTTAAATACAGTTTTTTTGAGACGTCGCTTTGATGTGATGTAGCTGCTGAAGGTAATCAATGCAACCTGAAGAAATACTCATTCAGAACAAGAAAGTGAAAGTTCCTCAAAAGGAATTTATGACAATTTCTGGGCCATCAATCAAATTACAACCCCTCACCAGGGTGTTTCTTGAGCTCTATAGAGGGAAGGGCTGGAATGCGTTCCAGCCTGGAATTGTGGGTAAAAGTTAGCTCGCCTCACTTGAGGATGGAACGGTTTATTTTGGAGCAAGTGCAGCGAAGATTCATCATGCAGTCACTGAAGATAGTATTGTTCTCCTTTGTGAAGTGATTGTGAAGTCTGAGCTGCATTGCTCGGCGTTTAGAAGAAGGAAAAGTGATCTAATTTAAACATATGCAATTGTTAA